AAATAATTTAAAACACTAATTTATTTAAAAATATGTATCAACATGTATATGATCGTACATAAATATTTCACATAAACTTACTACAATTTTTGGCCCTTAGTCGACTTTTAATATAAGAGCTGACTCTTTTCCCAAAAAAGTTGGCTCTTAAAAGAACAGAGTCGACTACACTCACCACTAGGAACTTTCCTTGCTCTCTGGAATTTGGTAGTCGAATGTTGCTCCTTCACAGTCGAATCTTGGAAGCATTAGAGTCGATTCTTTATGTATAGAGTCGACTCTAACCTGCAGCAACCTCTCTGGAATTTGGGAGTCGAATGTTGATCTTATATAGTCGACTCTTGGAGGATTTAGAGTCGACTCTTCATTCATAGAGTCGACTTTTCATTCATAGAGTCGACTCTAACCTGCAGCAGGATGCTCGAACCTCTCTAGAATTTAGGAGTCGAATGTTGATCCTATATAGTCGACTCTTGGAGGATTTAGCGTCGACTCTTCATTCATAGAGTCAACTCTAATATGCAACAGGATTCTCGAACCTCTCTGGAATTTGGGAGTTGAATGTTGCTTTTATATAGTCGACTCTTGGAAGAGTTAAAGTCGACTCTTTATGTACAGAGTCGACTCTAACTTGCAGCACATGCTTGATGGAATTTGGGAGTCCAATGTTGCTCTTATACAATCGACTCTTAGAGGGTTGATAGTCGATTCTTGATGTATATAGTCGACTCTAACATGCCTAAAATGCTCGAACCTCTCTAACATGCCCCAACTTTTGTACTTGTTCTTGCTACACTTTGATTTTATCATATCACATTACATACAATGTCATTTATCATGTCACATATTTTCAATTCATTACATTATTATAAATGTGTACCACTTATATAATTTCCTCATCTCATAATCATAAATTAAAAGATAAGTATATAAGTACCACTTGCAACATTTAACATGACCATTTACATATTCTAAACTTGCAAGTCATAACAATACAGTTAATATTACCACAAACCATTCAATTCCAACCGACATATACACCTATGTCATAACAAGTTCAAATCACAAACCCAGAAACTAAAAGTATTTTCCTCAAGTATCAAGAACATGCCAAGTTTTGCGTTCACAACCTCATGCACACTGATCACTCTGGCCCAAATGGATCTTGGTAATCTGCATCAAATCTCGGCTGGTAACCATAATCATCTTGTGGGAGATTGGCTGAAGATTTACCTAGAGATCCTGATTGTCTCCCCATTTGGCCCATGGGGAATGCAAGTTCTATTGGCATTTGCATTGGCATTGCATGAGGAAATGATGGCCCACTAGCATGAAACGATGGCCCAACAGTAGGGAATGATGTCCCTACAGCAGGAAATGCTTGCCTAGTGTGAGGCAATAATGGGGTAGCACTAGGTGGGCGCATCCCATAGGCACTAAAAGCAGCAAATTGCTGCGATAGAGATGCCTACATCCTCCCCATGTCTTCCAGCATCCGTTGCATTGCTTCTCGTTACTCTTTGACTTGCCCTATTTCGTCTCGCATCATTTGCATTGCCTCCCTATCTTTGGCTTGTTTTTCAGCCATGTCTGATATCATTAGGCTCACATATGAAGTCTCCATTGGTTGTCGTTTTCTATATGTAAACCCAAGTTCCTCTAGGTTTACCTGTGAACCAATTCCTGGCATGAAATTGCTGTGGCATCCCTCAACAGCAGTTGCCCAAGCGTCATTGTCCCGAGGTGGCCATAATGCTGAGTCCGAGCCATATGTAGTAAAGCACTCACTGACATATGTATCCTATAAAAGTAATGCAAGAAAAACTACAACATATAACTGCAAATTTTTAAATGTTGTATGCACATAACAATGCTGAAAATGTAATCATTATTATTTAGGTTAAATACCTTTTTTGGTCCCTCTACTATAGGAAAAAGCCCCTTTTTGGTCCTTGTACCAAAAAAATCCCTTTTTTGGTCCTTACTGTTCACAAATCCGGCCCCTTTTTGGTCCCTCCGTTAATTTTTGCTCACATGGCACGTTAACTTAACGGGAACAGCTGATGTGGACTTAATGATACCCTCCACGT